GATTTTATTTTTGAATGTGCTGTCAGACTGAGTTCATGTGGTCATACAACTCCAAAAGCACTTACAATCCTTTCACTGAAGACTGAATTACACAGACCAGCCTGCACGTGCTGTGGATGGAGAGGGAACATTTACATGAATGTTTATTATGACAATTTATTTTACTGCTGTCAATGGCACATTAGAAGAACTCTGGAAACATTCCTGTACTGTGTGATAACAGAGACAGATGGACAAACAGACAGACACACACATAGACAGACACAGACACACACACACGGACGGACGGACAGATAGATAGACAGACGCATAGACAGAGAGAACTCATGTGCGAGTCTGTCAGATGTCTCTCTCACATGTGTTTTCATACTTGATTCATCTTTAATATAACCTAAAAAAGCCTAAAATAAACTTAAATAAGCCTAAATACTATATTTTGGAAAGCACTAAAATATCACAACCCATGACTGCCTATATTAATGAGCCACTTTATGGGAAAAAACAAGCCTGATCAAATGGAGATGGCAAGACTAAAAGTGTTTGGCTTTATGAACAAACAAAATCTATCAATTTGTCTATCAAGGGTGGGTTAGTAAAAAAAAAAAGGGTAAATCTGCTGGCATCAAGTTTCTTGTTCTCAGCTGCAAGACATCAAAACGTTGTCTAAGTCATCAATTTCATGAGTAACGTGTGAACTGTACACACACTTGATCACTGAGGTAGTTCCGTCCCGTATTCTTTCAGTGTGCAGTGCATGGCCTCTGCTTCTCAGTGTATTGATCAGACGGACTGAAGACTTGCTGGCATCGGCTGCATGACTCAATAGCGGCTTTGTGTGCAGCGGCACCACCAGTACGACTCCCACTAGTGGCCAGACTGAGGCCCTGCAGAACATGCAGTGGCGACCCAGTTCAGTCACTGCTCATTTGTGTTGAGCAGAGAGCGAGCGAGAGAGAGAGAGAGCAGCCTGAAATAAACACGTGTGAACTCACTCAAGATCTGCTGGCCAGTTACTGAAGGATGTGAGATCATACAAGTGTGGAAGTAATAACAGCTTGAATGAGTGCTGCAGGTTCAAAACAAGCATTGTATTTCAGGACTAAAGTCTCTTACCACTTTAAAAACAAAAACTCATCTGAGACCTCATGTGCTTACAGTAACATGCTTTCAGTGGATGTATACATGTCCAAACTATTTCAGAAACCACCAAACACAATCACTTGCTGATCTGGTCTGTGTGAAGTTACATACTGTATTTCACGTCATGTCCATGTAAAGCCACACAGTGATGCATCAACATTTTGGCTATTCGACTGAGATATCAAGATTGACAAATTGAATTTATCATCTGAGAATACAACACCCTGAAAACATGCCAGATTCAGTTACCCCCAAATGTAATAAGTAAAATGACAACCAAAATTGGTTTCCAACTAAATAAAACTTTACAATTTCGGTTTCATTGTTTCTGTAAAATATGAATTCCAGTGCATCGTGTCTGTGTGTCGCAGACAGCAGAAAGACAGCAAATGCACATCACGTCAGAAACATGTCAGTAGATGTTCAACACCGCAGCACTACCTCATAGAGATCATTCACACGCTTTACAGATCAAATCATAAATCATAGGATTAAACAAAACATGAGCTGCACATTTCTGCTTTCAAAAGTCTGAGCAGATCAATGACAAGTGCATGACTGTCTTTGAAGAGTAAATACACAGAGAAGAGATCAAAATTATTTTTTACTTGAATTGACAAACACTGTTGATAGAGCTGAGTGTGTATCACATACCGTCACATGAGACACATGTAGTGTGTAGATCTCATCACGTGTGTGTGTGTGTTTGTGAGAGAGAGCGAGAGAGCTGCAGGTACAGACTGTCAGATTTTCACTCAGTGCTGCTCGTCTGACTGTCTGTCTCCATTAGCAGTACAGTGTGTGTGTTTGTGAGTGTGTGTGTGTGTGTTCTCTGGCTGTGTTGCCATGGTTATTAGGGAATTCTGGTAAGTATGAAATTTCATTCAGTCTGCTGTGAAACATCAACAAAGCAGCAGATCATGGAGCGCCGCCACACCCAAACACCAGTTTGTGCTCCACTGGTTTGTGTCTGTCATTGAGCGTATGCTGGATAGAGATTCAGGTCTCTCAAAGCCTCAGTTCAGTGCTTTATGCATGTTTTAGCTTCTTACTTTCACTCAAAATGGCTTAGACAAACAAACTTTTTTCCTCCTGATCCTTTGTCTCATGGTGAGTTGGCGAAGTTGGAATGGCTTTACTTTCCACTCAATTAAATCAGTTTATCTTCTCAAACATTTTCTAGTTCAAAAAACATTTCTCAGAACTTAATTAATTAATTCTAATATTTCATACTGTGGCTGTGTCTTTGCAGTGATATATTGATGTGCATGTCATTGGCAGCATGTGTACAGGTGTTGTTGTGTGACAGGCTAGCGCCACACAACAGTACACAGTCAGTGTTATTTTGTCTCTTCATGTCTCCAGCTCCACCATGTTCTTTTCCATTGGTTTTGAAATACTTTTTTTATGTTCTTCCTTTGTTCTAGTTTGTCCCGTCTTCACACATGAGCAGATGTTTTTTGTGTTCAACATGTTTCCCTAGAGATATACTGTAAGGTGCTAATGAAATTCATTTAAACAAAAGTATTTGGACCCTTAAAGGGGTCATATGATGTTGCTAAAAAGAACATTATTTTGTGTATTTGGTGTTATGAAATGTTTATGCGGTTTAAGATTCAAATAACACATTATTTTCCACATACTGTACATTATTGTTTCTCCTCAATGCTCTGCCTTTCTGAAACACGTTGATTTTTACAAAGCTCATCGGTCTGAAAACTGAGGTGTGCTCTGATTGGCCAGCTATCCAGTGTGTTGTGATTGGCCGAATACCTCAAGGATGTGACGGAAATGTTACGCCCCTTACCATATCCCGGCCGGAGCGACGAGACAAAAACATTAAAACCCATTATAAATGAGGCATTTGTTGCATCTAATGGTGACATAATTACGGATTATAATGACTTATACTGTCTTTTTACGCGTTTTATGCTTTTAATTGTGCCGCTTCATGCCGGTAAACATAAAACCATGTCTGCATTTGGGATCGGAGAAATGACAAACAACAAGTGCTACTCTACACTGCTCAAAACTCGCGTTTGAATCGTCAGTGGCAAATTCTTTAAATATAAAAAACGTACTTACATTCTGTGAGTCAGAACAGCCGGCATTGTAGTCTACTCTTCCAGGATCAGGAAACAGTCCTCCATAAAATGTGCTGCACACATCCAAATAATTGGGATGAAGTGTTCTGGAACAGTGTTGTAAATACAACTTAACCACTGATTTCTAGTTGTGTCCTCTTTTGGAAGACCAAACAAAGTAGTTTCGCTTTCACAATGAAACACACAGCGTCACACACGAGAGTGATAGAGTGAGTGGCGGCCGGAGGCCTAGAGTGAGGAATGGCCGGCGGGCTTAAGAACGGCCGGCGGATTCGACGAAGGAGCGGCCGGCGGGCTTGTGGAAACCACATGTGACGACCCCGGGCTGGACTCCGCTTCGTCCATGGTGAAAGCCGATCCAGCGATCCACAGCGCGAAGTTGATGTATTTCCTCAGCGACCAGCATGGATCAGCTCTAGGCATGACGAAGCGGATATCGTCCTCTTTTGGAAGGCCAAACAAAGTAGTTTCACTTTCACAACAAAACACACAGCGCCTTCACGACATGGCGGCAGCAATAATACTACAGCGAGAATAAAAGTTACGCCTTCTTTCTTTGCGTGAACATTTGGGTGGCGTTCCCACATCGTGACGTAGACATGTGGGGGCGTGTTAGAACGAGCCGTTTTAGGTAGGCGTGGTTGACTCTTAACTTTTATGAAGAATATCTCTTTGGATTTGAGACTTTAGTCTTTGCAACTTTACAGATCTTCTTTATGCACCAAGAGCTTGTAACACTCCAAAGAGAAAGGACAAATTGAAATCGCATCATATGACCCCTTTAAAGCACCGATTTGAAATGTATACATGTCATTGCCATTACATGTCAAAATATATCAAAACAAGTACCATATATTTTATATAAATATTGCACAAGCACACATCTCAATCAAAACACATCACAAAATGAAGTTTTCAAAATATGAAGCAATAGATATACTGAGACAAAAGTCTTTCTGGTTGCCAAACTTTGTGTAACATGTTCATTTGTTAGTGTGAACACAAGGAGAACGGACTTCATACATCCACTCAGAATTAGCTCAAGACCAGCTGGTTAAAATCATTTCGAGAGCATCCCAGAAAAGGGTTTAGTGAGGAGAAACATGCCTCTTCATTTGTTTTGGATCTCATGTTTCTGTGTGTTTTGTCCTGTTATGACTGTTTTGCAGCTGTATGTTTCCTCTTGTTTTGTATGAATATGAGCATCTGATGTGTTTCTGTGTCGTTCAGGGGCCTCAGGTGCCCTTCAGAGCAGGCACTGAGTGCTGCTGCTGAAGGGGCGTCTGAGTGCTCACAAGATGAGATGACAGATGAGCAACTCGCACGATAACCCTCAGATCCACTGCTCTGTGTGTGTAGTTTTGTAACAATACAGATAGTGGTGATTAACTTCTGTGTTGTGGGATTGTCTTACAGTGGTGGAGGAGGGATTGTGGGAATGTGGCCTGTCATACGAGTGCCGGACACTGCTTTTCAAGGCTATTCATAATCTCTTGGAGAGGTACGTGTTCATACTGTACATGCTCATACTGTACACTCACTCTTACTGTACAGGTGTTCATATTGTACACACATTTATACTGAACAAACATCCATATTGTACATGCTCATACTGTACACACACTGTACACACATTCATACTGTACATATTAATACTGCACACACACACACTCATACTATACACACATGTCCACACGTTCATACTGTACTAGCATTCATATTGTACATGCTCATACTGTACACACATTCATACTTCACACACACACACACACACTCATAATGTACACACAGAGATACTGTACTTGCTCATACCGTACACACTGATACTGTACATGCTCATACCGTACACATACTGATACTGTATATGGTTCATACTCTACACACACACACACCTACTCATTATACACAGTATTAGCTTCACTGATTTGTTCAATTGATGAACCTGGAATGGCTGATGTGTTTGATTTTCCAGATGTTTGATGGATAAAGATTTTGTTCGCATTGGGAAGTGGTTTGTCAAGCCGCACAAGACTGAGGAGAAACCCCTCAGCAGCAGGTGAGCATCCAACCAGCATCTTCATCTACAAGCCTTTCTTCATGTGTGACTGCAGAAGTGAAACTCTAAATATCTCTGATTATGAAAGTGTGAATAACGCACAACAAACTCCTCAGAGGAAATGCTTTCACAGCAGCAGATGCCACACCAGATGAGTGTTTGAGGGGCATTTGAGGAACGCTAAGGGAGGAGAGTTTGAGGAGTGTTTGGGTTTGTCGCCCCCTGCAGGCTCATACAGGGATGAACACATGCACATGTGGTTTCACATAATGTACTTCAGACTGTTTAGCTCTCTCTCTCTCTGTGTCTGTCTGTGTGTGTGTGTGTGCAGTGAGCACCTGTCATGCTGCTTCTCGTTCTTCCTGCATGGCGACAGCAGCGTGTGCACCAGCGTGGAGGTTTCACAGCATCAGCCGCTGTATCATGTGACAGAGGAGCACGTGCGTCTGGCTCAGAGCCGCTCACTGCAGGGTTCGTCCCATCATCCTCACTGCATTCACTGCATTGCTGCATGAACCGGCATCATACATGATGGTGAGCGTTACGCGCGTGTGTGTGTGTGTGTGTGTGTGTGTGTGTGTGTGTGTGTGTGTGTGTGTGTGTGTGTGTGTGTGTGTGTGTGTGTGTGTGTGTGTGTGGTGAGTGGTCAGGGAAATGAGTAAGGCACACGACATCTAAAAAGTCCCTAGTGTGGTCCTCCAGCGAACGTTCCTGCTGTTCCAGGCAAAGAAGCTGGATAGCTGGTAAATCCATCTAGGACAAGAGAGGAAATTAATGAAAAACCCAACAATTTTTCTACTTGGAGTTCTGGCATTCTGTCACATGCTGGCTACATAAACCACACAATGCAGGAGTAAAAAAACAACTAGTTTCCTTTAATAACATATCCACAGGAAGATCACAGAAAACCAACACAAGCAACATTAATACCAGAACTGAGGAACTAAAGCAAAACACAGGACTTAAATGCTAGAAAAGGTAATTAGGGAGAACTGAAACAGGTGTGGAGCTATTTAATAAAAAAAACATAGCAACTAATGCATAACTAAATCAGGAAACAGAAACACAGGTAAAACTAAACCATACAGAACATAACCATGACAATTAATAGTTAGTAATGTTGTTAAGTTTAGGTATTGGCTAAGATTAGGGATGTAGAGTATGGTCATGCAGAATATAAACTTTATAAGTATTAATAAACAGCCAGTTTGTTAATAATAGGCATGCTAATAAGCAACTAGTTAACAGTGAGAATTGGTCACTATACTAAAGTGTTACCAATATTTTACTACATATATTAGCATTAAGTGTTTCATTAATTTACAGTTTTTTTTACACACATTTTCAAAACTTTGCCTCTTTTTTTCAAAACTTTACACACAAATCCAAAAATTGCACACACAAAATGCAAAATTCCTCACATCTCTTTCAAAATGAAGCACTGCATTCAAAATACCACAAACAAATCTCAAAAGCAAACATTTGCAAACACCTTTGCCATATTATTAATTCCTGTTAGATTTGTGTGTTACATAGATAATTGTGCATTGTGTTTTGCAAAAAGTATTTTATGAAATAGGCCAAGAATTATTGTATGGTTTTGCAGATTTGGTGTGTGGTTCTGGTGTTTGAGTGTCAGGTTTCAAAAATTGTGTGAAAAGTAAAGATTTTGTGTGTAAGCAGTTACAAAATTTTTTATATATTCATTGTTTAGCATAACTGACTATTTTAATATATCAATAATAATTTAATATAGATGTTAAGTTAATAAAGATACTAAATTAATAGTTTACTAAATTAAGCTTAATAATTTGATAATTTCTAAATGTTAATCATTTATTAATTTAGGCATAATACATTAATTAAAAAAATCTAAATTTAGAAAGTCATCCTATGGCCCTCTCATTAAAAACCACTAGAAATATTTGTCTAAACATTTTAAACCAACAACAAGTAATGATGTAAAATGAATAAGACATATTTGAGATTGTGCACTATTGACTAATCAAATCTAAGTAAATTAGTGTCAGCGATCATGTGACTCTTTGTATGGATGGTGTGATGTTTTTCTTCCTCTGAGACTCTTGGATCATCTCAAATTCTGCAGGAGAACATGATCATTAGGTTTTGTTCATGTACCTCCAGTGCTGCTGCCATTAAAGTAAGACAGACATAAATATTCTGTAAAATGCAATGTAAAAAAGCATGTAGGCTAATTTTTTTACAGTTTCTCATGCTGTAAGTTTTATAATGAAAATAAAATGCATTTTTTTATGAAAATAATGCAAAAGTGGTCTACTGCTCTCAGACTTTTGGATTCATGTGTGTGTGTGTGTGTGTGTGTGTGTGTGTGTTGTAGTGGTGTTGAGTCCGTACGGCCTGTGCGGGACGCTGATGGGTCGGGCGTTTAAGATGAGCGACCCTGCGGTGCAGAAACTCATGGAGGACTGGAGTCATTTCTACCCCATGGTGCTGAAACACAGAGAGACGAATGGCGAGGATGGCGACCTGACCTTTGACCCTCACAGTTATGTTGCACTCGAGGTCATCGTAGGTCAGCAGTTCATAACAACACAAGTGTAATTGTGTGTGTCGGTGTTGTGAGAGACCTCACATCTGTGTGTGTGTGTTTGTGTTTAGGAGGAGTGCGGATGGTTTACCCAGAAGCCTTAGTTCTGGTGGCTCAGAGTGATGCACTTGCACAGGTGTTGCTCAGAGATTCTTCCAGCTACGGGACGCCCCTCACACCCCCCACCTCACCGGGACGGCCCTGCTCAGGTAACACTCCCAAAACATCTTCTAGTGTTGTACACTCTTACAAATAAAGCTTCTTCATTGGCATCTGTGGTTCCATGAAGAACCTTTTAAAATCCATGAAACATTTGGGATTTAAACACTTAATATACACTTAAAATGTATAAAATGAAAAAATGAAAATTAGCCCACAAATGACCTACCCTCAAGTCATCCTAGGTGTATATGACTTTCTTCTTTCAGACGAATCCAGTCGGAGTTATATTAAAAATTGTCTTTGAACTTTCAAGCTGTTTAATGCCACTCAGCGGGTGTTGCATGCATCAGTCCAAAAGAAGTTAAACAAAAAGCGAGGGCCGTGTGAGACACTTTTTTTTTTATGGATGGGCGCTTTTTATTTAACTTCTTTTGGACTGATGCATTAAACAGCTTGAAAGATCAAAGACTATTTTTTATATAACTCCGACTGGATTCGTCTGAAAGAAGAAAGTCATATACACCTACGATGACCTGAGGGTGAGTAATTTGTGGGCTAATTTTCATTTTTGGGTGAACTAACCCTTTAATATTCAGTAATATCATCAATTTGACAGCACTGACACTGATCAGATGAGAACAAAACGTGAAGCTGAATAATGACACTGTTATCTTCTGTCTTAAAGCTGAATAATTTTGTTTCATAATGCATTTTTGCACCATTGACACTTATTAAACTGAACTGAATCAACACTGAAATGAATTGATCTGAATAAGGACACTATTGTCTTCTGTAGAGCTTCTTCACAGCAGAGTTTGGATTTGTCTCATATTTGATGAAGCTTGCATCATTGATTCTGTTATTTTCTTGTTTTTGTCTGTAAAGCCACTTTCGTATTGTATAAAGTGCTATAGAAATAAATGTGACTTGACTTTCCATTGCACAAAAAGTTCTTTATAGTGGAAAAAGGGTTTTGAGATTATTAAAATGTTCTTGACACTGAGGAAAAATGGTTCCCTTTCATGGGAACTTCGAACTGCGTCCTCTAGGGGTCGCTATGGGGAACGCCTCGTCGTGACTCGTATCTGAAGCATACATTGAAAAAACACCAACTCGTTGGCCGGCGACAGCCATGACGTCACTACCGGTGCGACTACAGTATAAATCGGTGCCGGGAGCTACACATCGTTCGATACGAGTCACGACGAGGCGTTCCCCATAGCGACCCCTAGAGGACGCAGTGTCTCGTTCCCTACTCAGGGAACCATGGTTACATAAGTAACCCGAGACGTTCTTCTTTGGCATTGCTGTGTAAACACATTTTGAAAGCATGAGTTGTACAGTCATGGCCAAAAGTTTTGGCAGTGACATACATTTTGTGTTTTGCAAAGTTTGCTGCTAAAGCTGTTGTGGTGTTCATTCACATTTTTTCTAGATTATTGTGTAGAGTGATCAGACGCATGTTAAATAATTGCTAAAAGCTTCATTGGCCAAAAAATTAACTTTTCACAAAAAAAAAACAAATTTCACTGTTTTTTGATCCTGACACAAAATGATCAGCTAACATTAATTGGCTAATCATATCAGCAGCACATGTGAATGAGTGAATGAGTACTAGTCAGGTGAATCACTATCATACTAATTAGATTGTAAGAGCAGACTGATTGCTATAAAAGGAGGGAAGAAGCGCTTCCAATCATTGTGTTCTTGTTAGCAATGGTTACCTCCAAAGAAACACGTGCAGCCATCATGGCTTTGCATCAAAATGGCCTTACATGCAAGGAAATTGCTACAAAGGATATTGCACCTGAAAGAACCATTTACCGGATCATCAAGAACTTCAAGGAGAGAGGTTCGACTGCAGTGAAGAAGTCTTCAGGACGTCCCAGAGTGTCCAGCAAGCGCCAGGACGGTCTCCTCCCGTGGAGCCAGCTACAGAATCGTGTCACCACCAGTGCAGAGCTTGCTCAGGAATGGCAGCAGGTT